ATATAATATTTTATTTGTCTGGTTGCCGTGGTTGGTTCTTAAGAACAATCGATTACGTGAATATCAATAATGATTATTTTTGACAGTGCATCTGTAGTCCAGCTTTATGGAAGACAATGGTGAATTGTTTACAGATGGCAAATTAGGCGATTTCAATGTCAATATTGCGAAATATGTTTTTACCGTATCATGCATTTTAAAACGTTTTCAGTTCCTTCTTTTCACCTTATACTTTTAAAAAGTGTAGTGTGTTTGTATCTGCTGTTAACTGAAATAGTCTTACTATACTATACTCTTCGATTAGAATGAACCAAAAAGACTTTTATCATTTTGCCGTATTATTTTTGCTCGCAGAAGTGGCATGAAGCTTCTTGACCTAATCGTACATTATCAATGTACAATGTACATGTAGTAATTAGTATCGTGATATTAAGTTTTCAATAACAAAACTAACCAAAATTAACCGAAAGAAATGGCCATATTTGGAGAGGTAAAGACTTGGGTGTATCCAGACTTTAGAATTTGGTACAAGCCCACCAGCAGCTGGGACATATTCTTCAACTACTTCTTCGCTGCCCTCTTCATCCTGGTCTTCTTAACAGGACTGTTCCAACCCGTCATAGTCTACTACCACTCCAAACAAAAGAGGACAATAGCTAACATTCTGTTTCTATGCATCTCCAGTCTGGATACGTTCAAAAGCTTATACTTTCCGGTTTGGTTAGTCCCGAGACTTCTCTCCCCGATTGATGAAATTGGACCGTATGTCCAATTTGGCTACAAAGGATGGTTTGGGTTGATGAACAGCGTCTTGGCTTTTGTACCAGCCCAGATCACCTATGCTTTGATGCTTCTCTTATGCGGGTTTAGATACCTCATCATGCTCACTTCCATGAACCCGAACATAAATCTGAGGCCAGTTAAAATCATATCACCATTTGTGTGCCTTGCTGGTCCAGGAGTTATGGTAGGGTATTGGGTTTGGGGGACGGTCAAATACAAAGGCAGTGGCTCCGCATTCGTCAGGATTACCCAGACGGCATTTCCAGCAGACGTGGAATGGATGCTTGGCTCGAATGATTTCCTGCATGTTTCCTGTGGAGCCTATTTCTTCATGATTGTTCTAAGCGTTATCTTTAGTGTTCTAAATGCTCAGTATCTCATGAAATCTATCGGAGCTACCCCCTGTGAAGCATCAAACAACGATCTGAAGAGAAGTGTGGCGTGTATCCTGGTGATGAACCTCTTTAGTATTATCATGGCTATCCTCAACGTCTGTTGGTTGGTCTACCAGATTAAATACAGCATGTACAGAGCATTCCCTACCTACCTTGATGTCCTGAGGTTCACTTTTTGGTACGGGTTCCCTCTCACTCAAGCTTCCTTCAACGCCATTAGCTTCGCCGTCATCAGCTCATCCTTCAGAAGCTTTGTAAGAAATCTTGATCCCGTAAAGAAGATCTGGCCGGTGAACACTCCCGCAAATCTATAGTTTCAACTTAAAAATGTCCGAATACCAGCATGAGTGGAGTCAAATGAATTGAAAAATTTCCTATTTTTCATTTAATTTGCACGTGGGCGGTCGTACAGTGTACATACAACAGAAATAATTCTTTGAATTATAGTAGAGACTAGAAAGCCCGTGGTAACAGGGACGAAGCTAGTAAGCTAGTAGTATTCTTTGAAAGAAAGTTTTAATCGCATCAAAAAATATCCATCTCAACCGAAGATACAGCCGATTTAAATATAAAAAGATAAAACACTTTAAACACAACGTAATTACCACAAAACCGATCAAAATGACGTTAAAACAATCTTTGCACGTGCATGTGTGCATTAAAACACCGTTGCTATGGAACCTTTTGGTTGTTACCTAAATTCCTATTTTTCATCTAATTTGCACGTGGGCGGTCGTACAATGTACATACAACAAAAAGAATTTTCTGAATTATAGTAGAGACTAGAAAGCCCGTGGTAACAGGGACGAAGCTATATATAGTAGTATTCTTTGAAAGAAAGTTTTAATCGCATCAAAAAAGATCCATCCCGACCGAAGATACAGCCGATTTAAATATAAAACGACGTAATCACCACAAAACCGATCAAAATGACGTTAAAACAATCTTTGCACGTGCATGTGTGCATTAAAACACCGTTGCTATGAGTATGGAACCTTTTGGTTGTTACCTAAATTCCTATTTTTCATCTAATTTGCACGTGGGCGGTCGTACAGTGTAACTGTACATACAGAATAATTCTCTGAATTATAAGTAAGATAGCTGCTTCGTTACATACTTTAGAAATAAGAGTAGAGTGTTTTATATATTTGATTCGAATTTTTAAAGATGAAAGACCATGTTACGAGTTAAACTGGTCAGGAAATTTTGATTTACTGCGCTTATGTTAATTTGTTAATGAGAACTAAATTTTAATTGTTTGAGATATTTGACTTATTTTGAGATATTTGACTTGTAATCGTATTGTAATTGTATTTTAAATTTGATCGATTGGCAGAAATCAATGGTTGTGTAGATACCGTTTATTATTTCGAACGTAATCGGTGGTTATCAGATTTGGTGTTAAACTGTAAATGAAATAGCACAAGAACTAAAAACAAGAAACAACTTTAAAGTCAGAAATTAGGCCTAAAAACGTGAAATAAATTTTAAAATTAAATAAAAAATTGTGGCTAAAATTATTAATCTTTAAACCCTAAAAACATTAAAACATAAAACCCACCTCAGATTGGGGTATCAGGAACTGCAGATGATTTGGTAGACGGATAAGGACCGAAAGCTTCCTCTTTTGAGTGGGCTAACATGTTCAGAGCAGCAAGAACCGTGAGTAGAAATTAAATTCAAACGATCCATTAAAATTTCATTATTTTATACGTTTTAGGTACTTAAAAATATACTCTGATATCAAGATATGAGTTAGTATTGGAACTGTCGCTGAATTTGAAAAAAATACTTACGGGGATAAGATTAGATCCACATGAAACTTAAAATATATCAGTACGTATGTCGTTTAGCTGTCAGTTGTGGGATAAATACGCTGTCGCAGATGAACTTCAATGTAGTAACAAGAAGGAGTAGATTGTCACAACATTCTTATCCTACCAACATTCTTACCCCAGCCCCACCTAAGTTAACCTTTATAAAGTGCCCACTTTGCAACCTTTTCATTATTCTTTGTGACGTTATTTCTTTAAATTTTACTTCAGCTAATATAATAGCACCAATTATTGTTGTTCTTGGACTTTTCAGAATTATCTTTACAGTTCCACTTGTAGCGCGATGCACTACTGGGTCGCGCGCGCGCATCCAATAATGCTTCTCGCAACCACAGTATGCAGATCGGCGAGATGCGAAGGATTGACATCGTGAATCAACAGTTCCACATACTATTTTGATATATTATGACACATTAGTGATTAGTGCTATAATTTCCTCAGCTACCTAGGAAACTGAAACTGCCCTGTTCGAGCCTTATTTGGCCCAGTTCTCGAAGTGTGCAAGAGTATACATTCACATACTATGATACTACTGTTAATGATAATAATATAATGGCATGCATTGAATTCTGTACTGTAGAATTACTCGTTCCTGCCACAACCCATGATACTGATAGAGGTTGTATTTGTAACAATGCAGTGTCTAGCTCCAAGATTGTCTGAGCACCCTGCCTATCTCCCATAAACCCTGTAAACTGTCCCAACTAACAAGCTATTCACAGGAACATCCCTGTTAGTGAAGCTCTCTGCATCCAGAAAGCAGGAAATATTGCCCTCTGCACCTTGTATCGGGGGTTATCTGGACACAAGAACCCTTACCAGGCCGATAATATCACGCGGGCGAAGGCTAGACAGGGCTTTGTCATTTGGAGATATAGATACGACTATTAGATAGTATGTCTTCAGTCTCACGACTCACTTGTCGCTGCCGCCCCTCAGTAGCTTATTTAATATCAGCCTCATATCAAAGTTTGTCAGTGCTCAGTGGTTTGCTTTTCGAGAGCTCTTAATAAGAACAAGATATTTCTCAGTTCTTCTATTTGGACTGAGTGCGGGGAACTTATTTCACATTTGTCTAGAAATATAATTTTGTGTAAAAATAATTCTAGGAGCATTTTTCGATGAATTTCTCAAATATAATTATTTTATTTCGCCGCGCGGTGGCAAGCAATATTATATATATATATAATACTATATATCATGATAATACTAGCAAGCTAGGTTAAGCCATTTTTTTCTTTCTACTGAAGAATAAAAGATGAAAACTCTTGTCGTACCGTACATAAGGTAATTAGGTATTGGAACAAAGCCAGGGTGAGAAACACTAACAGGGTACTTGTAAGTAGAAACACTAACACTAACATGCAGGGTTCATGTTATGTATCCTGGGTCTGGACAGGATATTACCCGCTTAAAATATTTCCATCACGTTACATAATACTCAATGAATGTGACAGATCTGTGATGTTGCAATTAGTGTAATCCATGTCCGACCACAATGTTATCATGGTCCCACCGCTTTGTTTCGGGTTACTCCTAGCCAAAATAAAGTTAAAAGTGATTGGCGTTTGCATTAATTATTTGTAATCCAGCTACAGTCTGATAGTTGGTACTGGTAGAGTTAAGTTTAATTGGTGTTCTCAATACCTCGATAAAACGTTACTGTTTGTAGTGCGATGCACTATTTATTGGGCATAGTACATAAATAGTAAATGTAGCGGCAGTAAAATTATTCTGGTTCGCGTGTAGTTTTATAATTATGGCTGATTTCAAGGGCGTTTGAAACCCCCTTTTGTACCCGACCCCTCCTCCAGAGTCCAGGGTTTGAATTAAATTCTTATTCAGCTCGGAAGAAACCAAATAATACTGTTATTATTAATATTAATGATAGCCTTCCTGACCCAGCTCTAAAAACGAAGAAGTAACTAATAACCAATTAAGGTTGTATAAAGTATTAAAATTATTAATGAATCATTAATCTCAAAGTATGACAATGTCTTTTCCACTACTAACAGTCCTGCTTGCTCTGCAATTCACCTTCCACTCTGTATTGGCTTCTAAAGCTCTCCAGTTCGGCACCACTCTTGAAGACTATGTCAAATTCTCGCCTGATATGAGTCAGGTCAAATCTTCTCTAACGGTATGTTCATGGGTAAAAAAGCAACTCCCAGGCGCCACTAGATCTTGGATTACCTACACAACAACAACGCACAGGTTCGAAATCCTCATTTCAGACGGTGGATCTTACAACTACATTCACGACAGCAATAACGACCTGACAAGTAGTATTCCAACAGTTGTGATGAACACATGGACTAATCAATGTCAAAGCTGGTCGCAGAGCTCTGGGAAGATGAAGACTTACTATAACGGTACCCTGGTTGGATCTAAAAGCGTTTCCTCAGCTCCATTAGAAGAGGGAGGTGTCATCACTCTGGGACACGACGCTGGTAGCCCAGGTGAAAGTGAAATATTTGGTGGGCAGCTAATGAAACTGGACATATTTGGAAAAGAGCTCAGTGCAGAACAAGTTTCAGAGTTATACAACGCTGGGAGATGTTCCAATACAGAAAAGAAGCACCAGGAAGTTAGATTCATCACCTGGGAGAGCATACTGAGTCAGGACAGGACTGGCAATGTCACGGAAGTGGACTCTGGGTGTCCTGCTGAAGAGGAGGAAGAGGAGGAAGAGGAGGAAGAAGATTGTAAGTGTTCTCACAGTATCTGGGACATACTGTATGATCAGACATACTTTAACCAAACACTTACCGCCGAGAATCTGACCAAGCTAAAATCTGCCTGGAACATGTTGGGTAAGTAAGCAAGTCAGGTTTGTCATAATATCATTATCATAATATGTACTAATGTACATTGTACAGTGATTTTCGATAAAACAATGACTTTCGCAGAAGGAAATTATTTGATTAAGGCATCGTTCTACAAACATATCAATTCTGAAATAAATTGTGTCTGGGTAATACTGGAAGTTGATTTATTTATCCTGTAACGTATCAGAACAATTATGATTCACCTCTTCAACTCTGTCCTAATCTATTAAACGTGGAACATTTATATTATACGATAGAAATAAACTATAATAGTAATTTCTCTTGCAGACCATTTCGTCGGCACATCAATCACGGAGAACATCATAGCTCATTTTAAGGCATACCACCCTATGCCAGCAGAGGAAGAGGACGAAGAAACAGAAGAGGGAGATTGTGAGTGTTCTCACAGTATTTGGGACGTACTGAATGATCAGACCTACTCTAACCAAACACTTACCGCTGAGAAACTGACCGAACTAAAAGCTGCCTGGAACATGCTAGGTAAGTGAACAATAACTGAGTAGGTTTATTTTGTCATAGTAAAAAATAAGTTGTTATGTTTTTTATTTCCTTCGTTCTAGATTTGGTCCTACGACTAGATACTGGTGCAGGGGAGGTTAATTGTATTAATTGGGAAGGCAGGGTTTTTCAGTTTTGATTGGCCAATACTGGAAGCTGATTATTTAATTGGGTTCATACCCGGTCTTCCTATCTGTGTAGTAGTAATCCAGAAATAAATTAATAATAATTTATTTGCAGACCATTTCGTTGGCACACCGATCACAGAGAATATCATAGCTCATTTCAAAACCTACCACCCTATGCCTGCAGAGGAAGATGACAGCAGCTAAGAAAGAAAGAGAGATCATTATAACTCACCGGTACATTGATTTTAATTATTTTCATGATATCTACTTATTAATAAGGTTTTCTGATTAAAACTTTTGAGATTGTTAATTACTGTCAATATTACTGGTCGTAGCTCTGAATTGTCTCTAGTCGGTGAAATTTCTGATATTTCTATAAATCGCATTCTCATCAGGTCCTACTACCACTACAAAGTAGAATGTTCTTACAATGGCTGCCTGGTTACTCATTTGAAAACGAGGATCTACTTTTTCTGCTACGTATCATGGGATTAGTCTGGATTCAGGACTTTAAAGCTTTAGCAACCGGTTTCCATAACAGTAATCTGTTTTAGAACATTCTTAACATTTATGACTATGTTTTACTGACTCTGATTTTATCAAGAGCCATTTTTGAACACTAACAGTTATTTTACTGACCCATATTTTGTATCACGTGGTGACCCCCACGGTCGCTTCACCCCTGTAGAGTTTCGACGATACAGGGGGAGCCGCGCACTTCGTGCGCGGCGGGTCATACAACGTATGACAACCCATATTAATTAACTAATTGATAGCTAATTTTGGCTAATATAATGCCACTATCAGTGTCGACGGACCTGATTAAAATAAGTTGTTTGAAAAATGAATATTTATATTTTTTAACATTTTGAAACGAAAAAAGAAAACATTTTAATAGATAGTTCAAATAAATAGGTTTTTAACTTTAAGTTTAAAAAGAGGATATATTTAATATTTCTGTTATTATAAATTAGAAACGATTTACATTTTACATTTTATTCTAGATTAGTCTTTAATTTAATTTGTCCAAATAAATTTTATCGTTGCTTTTAGTTCCATCACTATCACGTCGTGACCCCATTCACTAAGTGGTGATTTTTGCTAATATCGTGGCGAAAGCCTCTGCGCGGCAGGTCTGCAACGTGTGACAAGCTAGATGTGCTCATGTGCTGGTGCAGTGCGGTGCAACAATTGCGAGACATAAACCCTAATCCCAACCCTGCCCTACTCTAACCGTAACCATAACCCCGAAGCTATCCATAACCCTTACCACATGCCTTACCCTAACCCTTACTGGGCCGCGCTCAGCCTGTCATTCCACCTAATGTCTGTTTATATTATGAACATCTTACTATATAATGTATAAAGCGAAACGATATATATGGTTCCGTGCCATTTTACTGACACCATGGCATCAATACAACTGTAACGCGACTTTCCGCAAAAACCGTAAAAGATATACAACTGAAACTTTTTTGACTGGGTCAAATGCTTTAATGGCCTTCAATTCAGCATGAAAAAGTAAAAAATTGGCCAAGGAATAAGAATTTTAGTCATGCCCAAAATTTGGACTCCCAAGTGGTGTCAAAAACGCGAATTAAATAAGTAATAATAGGTAGTGCGCCATCGACAGTGAGCCGTGCGTGCCGACTGTAAGATGGTTTTTTAGCGCTAATTTCGGCCAGCACAATTTTCTTCAAACAAATAGATATTGAGTATCCTTCCCGACCTCCAATTGCAACAAAAATTGGTAAGCTTACTCATAGACTTACAAGGAAAGTGCCCGAAAAATTTGAAGCATATCCAACCATCAAACATTATTGATTATGTTACAGCTAAAAGCAGCGTATTTTGCCCCATTTTGATCACTATATCAAATCCGATATCCACCAAATTTTTCGGACAGTTGTGAAAGCCCTATTGGAAGGTTGTCGCCAATTTCCAGAATGATCTCATTCAAGGAACTGAAGATAAATCCGAATAATACGACAAAAATGATCTAATTTGGACGAATTTGGTCAAATTACGCGACTTTTACAGCTACTTTTGCTCCAAAAGCCGCGCACCATCAAATATGGCACCTAGGCGAAACTCACTGATCTTTCCAAAAAGGTATAACAAATTTGTTATTGTGAAAATTCTCACAGTCTTTAGAAAACAGTGGTACAAAAATTTTAAAAATCCGAGCAAGTTTATTTTTATCGTGCACCCCCTAGTAATAATTATTTTAGTCTCTCGAGTTTTGACACCACTTTAGGGTTGTCATACGTTGTATGACCCGCCGCGCACGAAGTGCGCGGCTCCCCCTGTAGCGTCGAAGACGCTACAGTGAAGCGACCGTGGGGGTCACCATGTGATCCAAACTTTAGGGTAGACGGGTTCCTGCTAGTAATACTAATAGCTTGAGGTCCCCAGGTAACCTAACCCAAGCCCTAAACTATCGAATTCATGTTTTACTAGCCTGTCACGTAACCAAAACGGTTTTTTGCCCATTACTCTCCAGGGAAGCATTTTTATCCTACGTCGATCATGGGGGTGATTCGGAATCATTATTTCAACTCAAAGGGCCTTTTCACATTTCACAAGAATTTTCTTAAAATGTGGGCGAGCGATTTAGTAGCTGAGCGCGCGAGCGACAGTAAATAGAGCAAGGTAATCCCACTTTAGGTGCGCGCTTGTTTGATTACTGTTCATTAACAATTGACAATATCCCAATTCCAGATCGTTGCTCGGCGAAGCAAACAGCAAAGCTAAAGCATTAAAATTTTCTTTTCAAAGCGCGATCGAAGCAAAATGCAAATGATAGTTCACGCGGCGGCCGCGGCGTTGCTTTTGTAGCGCGATGCGTTACTGTTGACTGTGCCGCGCCGCGCACTCAATGAGGCTTCTCACAGCTTTAGATCGGCGAAATGCGCTACTGTGCAGCGCCGAGCTGAGATAAATTGACATCGTCAATTAACGTTGCTCTAACTAACCATCGGAGGATTTCACCGCTTCGACGCGCCGCGCAAACTAGCATTCTTGCTTCGCATCGAAGACAAGATCGTTAATCATTGCATTAATTAATTGATGATGTCAATTCATCGCAGCTCGGCGTGGCACAGTTGACAGTAGCGTTGTAGCGCGATGCGTTACTGTGCCGCGCCGCGCACTCAATAAGGCTTCTCACAGCGACAGATCGGCGAGATGCGCTACTAGTGACTAGATCGGCGAGATGCGCTACTGTGCAGCGCCGATCTGCCATGAATTGACATCGTCAATTAAACAGTAGCGTATCTCGCCGATCTAGCGAGGAGAGAGAAGTCGCTGTGAAAAGCCTCATTGTCTCATTGAGTCGCTGTGAGAAGGCGATAAGCTTCATTGAGTGCGCGGCGCTGCAGAGTAACGCATTGCGCTACAACGGTTAGGGTCGCTGGGTTTGGATTAAATTAGTGTTCATGTAAAACTGATTTGTTCGGTTGCAGAACCTAAAGTCAGGTAATAATTTTAGGGCGAGCGAATTAGTAAAAGCCGATTAATTTGTTTTATACTAACCCGAGTCTTCGTTCTTGCTCTGACGCGCTTACATATAGTAGTGTTGCAAAAGCACATGGTTTGATAAAACTAAAGTGATTCATCATCATCCAGCCTTTTACTTAATGTTTTGTAGCGCGATGCGTTACTGTGCCGCGCTGCGCACTCAATTATACTTCTCGCTAGATCGGCGAAATGCGCTACTGTGCCTCGCCGAGCTGCGACGAATTGACATCGTCAATTATCCTTATGTCATGTGTGTGTTTTGAAATCAACGTTCAAAAGTACATTGATTTAAGTTGGTTTTAATTGTCTGGGGCCTCTTCGAGAAAAACTTCGAACTTCGAGTGTAAAGTACTTATTTACCAACTGTGAACATTTTACAGCCTTGAACGTTAAAGCATAAGTGCAGATTTCGTTTTGAGGTGAACTTTTATGTTCCCGAGAAATCTTCTTAAGTTTGCTTTTTTTTCTCCTCAGGCACATTCGTAACCTACGGGCCAGGTAAACCTAAACTACATATTGACCGTTTTGTACGTGGGTATCTGTTGAGGAGCCAAATCATCTGAAAAGCCCTAAACCTATATTTTGCTCAGGCACGTAGCCATGATTTTTCTTTGGGAGGGTGGGGGGGGGGGGGGGGGGGGGGGCTGTCGGCGATCGAAGCTGCAAGCTGTGGCAGGGGTCTGGGGGTGCAGCCCCCAGCAGGGTCCATGGGCGGACCCCAATGACGGGGGCTAGGGGGGCGCAGCCCCCCGGAAAAATTTTGCGAAATAGGGTCTTTTAGGCTAAATTGAAAGTTTAATGAATTTACAAAAATGTATGGTTTGGCATAATCATTGCCTACAATCCTGACCTGAGTAATTTCCCCCTTTGAGACTTTATTTTGGGTTGAAAATTGAGTTTATCGAGAGGAAGTGAAAAATCTCTGGTTCAAATTTGGATTTGAAGCCATGTTTAAATTTTTCTGTGGAGGTCACTTTTTTGCGCAGAAAGCCCTCGATTTTAGGGGAAAAAATTTATGTTTGCTTTTAATTTTTATGGTCCCGTCGGCACCTGGAATCGACGAAATCTGCAGGGGTGCGTTAAAGATTATAACACATTTCGACGTACTTGTCTCAAAATTAAAAATAACTTACTTTCTCAAATAACTTGTCGAGGCATTTTTGAGTACAAATCTGATATGAAGGGAACATATGCAGTTAAATGCTTATTTTAAAACATGTACTAGTGTTAGGATCATTGAAATGGAACATTTACACCAATAGTCCTATCAACAACAAGTGGAATGGGAAGAGAAGCTAATACTTTCTTCAAAAAGATAGCTGATAAACTAACTAGAAAATCTGGTCATAGATACAGTGAGGCGATGAAATTTATCGGGAAAAGAATAAGATTTGACTTATTGAGAACAACAATTATTGCACTTAGAGGAGAAAGAGGGATGAAAAGTGGTAGTGCAGTTAAAATAGCAGATTTAGATATAAATTTACAGCCAGTGCATTTATTGTCATTTGGCTACTTTTACTGTAAAGGTTTTTGTGAATGTTCCTTAGTTTTTAATGGGTTTTTTATTCAGATTTTTACTTTTATATAGGGTCATTGTGATATTATCTATATATTGTTTGAATACTTATTTCCCGTTTACAATGTGCTGGGTTATGACGAAATGGTGCCCCTTCGTTAGTCCACTATGCCTATCACATTATGGTCTAGAAGAAGCCAAAGTATTCTCCATGTTCATGTTGGGGAGTACTGTTAACTTTAAATGGATCACTATGCAATGAAACACACCAGTTGTTACAAGTAATTATCAAACCCCACAGACAACATGTTTGTGGTACATTCTGAAATAGAACACAATTAGTATATATTATATCGACTATCATAAATATATAAACCAAATATATAGCAATTCACAATCTCCCGTTCTTTCTTTAAAAGGCTTTGAAAGATTTAAAATATTTACTATAAAATAAAGGTGTCACAAGAAAGACTAAAATCTTTCTAAATATAACTTCCCTCTTCGTGGATACATGCACATTTTGGGCACTGGCCAATACAATTGTTCATTGTTTCTTAATCCATCAAGTAATGTGAAATGATAGTTTTAAAATGATAGTTTTAAAATGATAGTTTTAAAATGATAGTTTTAAAATGATAGTTTTAAAATTATAGTTTTAAAATGATAGTTTTAAAATGATAGTTTTAAAATGATAGTTTTAAAATGATA